TTCCTCTATTTATGACGGCTCAAGCATCACGTGAGCAGTATTCCCAGCCGGCTTCGACAAGCATAGTCCATGGAGGAAGCCACTTAACGACCATGTGATTCTCTTCATTTGCAGTGATTCACTTAACAGCGGTGGCAAAAAAGGAGAGGTTGTAACATCGGGCATGACTCAGCAACCGCCTTGTTTAAGAACGAAAATTCTGGTCAAGTTCGTCATCATAAATTGAGGACTCCCTGTCTGTAAACCTTTCCTGGGATCTAATCACATCGACGATCTTTCCTTCGCCGAGAATTCCTGCGATGTTGTGAAATTTTGCACTGCCGTTTTTGGCTCCCCTCATCATCGCGCGTTCGAAAGAAAGCTGTCGAAAAAAATCTAATTTATTTTTTTTAAACGTTATTTTATTTTAGAGCGAAATGGTATGTGGGGTGACTCATTTGGCACGCGGCTGGGTGGGTTTTATTTTTAAAAATCGCAAAATAACGGGGGAAATTTGGACGGCCGTAACGATGTGAAAAAGCAGGCGAAATTGGGGAAAAAAAAGAAAAGGAGCGATTCAGCCTTTTCAGAGGAAAAAGGTATGCGTGCCCAGGCTGGGGCGGAAACACATCACATAATGAGAGTATCACATGAAGGCTAAATTGTTGGGGAAATGAACGGAGGATTGAGAACACTCGGGAAAAAAAATGTGCACGAATTTTTGTGGGAAGAATGGAATGCAACAACTAAAGTTGAAAAAAAAAACAGAAGCATTGGCAGCAAGCAGTCTTAACAGAACAACAGGATTGAAAAGGACTTTGGAGGTCTTCTAGTCCAACCCTATTTGCAGGGAGACCCTATATCATTTCAGGCAAATGGTTGTCCAATCTCTTCTTAAAAAACCTCCGGTGTTGGAGCACCCACAATTTCTGGAGTCAGGTAGTTCCACTGGTTAATTGTTCTCACTGTCAGGAAATTTCTCCTTAATTCCAGGTTGCTTCTTTCCTTGATTAGTAGTTTCCATCAGGGGTGAAATGCTCCCGGTTCGGACCGGATCGCCCAATCCGGTAGCGATGGAGGCGGGTGGTTCGGAGAACCGGTAGCAAAAATCCCTGCCCCCCCCTCAGCCTCCAGCTTGCTTACTTTAGCTGCTGGTCGCAACGCCTGCCTTGCTTTGCTCGGGCGAGTAGGTAGCGATGGCGGTGAGCAGTTCGGAGAACCGGTAGCAAAAATCCCTTCCCCCCCCTCAGCCTCCAGCTTGCTTACTTTAGCTGCTGGTCGCAACGCCTGCCTTGCTTTGCTCGGCGAGTAGGTAGCGATGGCGGTGAGCAGTTCGGAGAACCGGTAGCAAAAATCCCTTCCCCCCCCTCAGCCTCCAGCTTGCTTACTTTAGCTGCTGGTCGCAACGCCTGCCTTGCTTTGCTTGCTGTAATCCCTGCAATCCATTGCATCAGCAAGCAACTGAATCTCTCTGCCTGCAATCAAGCTCATCGGTGAGCAGCTCTATCTGCCTGCCTGCCTTGTCCCTTCAATTGGGTAAGTTTTTTCCCCCTTTGGGAGCTTTAAACAAAATAGTTAATTGGGGTTTTTTTCTAGTTGTTCTTTTTTTAGACCTAGCCATTTAAAGTTTAGGAAGTTTTAAATTTAGCTGCTTTTATATAAAAATAAAAATAAAATAAAATAAAATAAAATAAAATAAAATAAAATAAAATAATAAAATAATAAAATAAAATAAAATAAAATAAAATAAAATAAATCAAATCAAATCAAATCAAATCAAATCAAATCATATCAAATCAAATCAAATAATATTTGTGTTTCACTCTAACTACACAAACACACAAAATCTTACAAAGCTGTGTGTGGAATTTTGTGTGTGTAAAGTGTGAAAGTTGGTTTTTTGGACTTTTTGTGGCTGTGTGAGGTTCCTGCTTGTAGCAGGGGCCATTTTGGGTCTAGCACAGCTGCTTTTACATTGTGGGTGAGCCAGTTGTGTTTTGTTGTGTTTTGTAGGGTAAAAAAGGGCAACAAAGTGACGTCGACTTGGCCACGCCCACCTGACCAACAAGCCACGCCCACCCAGTCACCTGATCACCAAGCCCCACCCACTAATTAAGCCACGCCCACAGAACTGGTAGCGAAAACTTTTAGATTTTATCCCTGAGCGCGATCATCAGAGGCTTTTTTTCTTTTAAACGGCTCTGACGATCCCAGCTGAGTTGCCTGATCGCCAGAGGCATTTAAAAGAAAAAAAGCCTCTGCCGATCAGGCAACTCAGCTGGGATTGTCAGAGCCTTTTGAAAGCAATTTTTTACAACCTCTTCGAGGTTGTAGAAAAAATGCTTTTAAAAAAGTTAAAAAAAATAAAAATTGCCACGCCCACCCAGTCACATTACCCCCTCCCCCACCAAGCCACGCCCACAGAACCTGTAGTAACAAATTTTAGATTTCATCACTGGTTTCCATCCATTGTTTCTCCTCCTGCCTTCCGGTGCTGGAGAATAAGATTGTCTCCCTCTTGTCTTGTGGATTTAGCCATGATGAACCGGGATAGGACTATTGCACGGAGTGCATAAACCATGATTTATTTATCAACCATGACTGAATTCGTGCCACGGGAGCTAGAGACAAACATCCTGCAGAATGCATAAGCATTTGGCTTGGCTTGGCTGGGTTTCATTTGGCATAAAATCCCCTTGAACCCTGGACAAAATCTGGAATGGAGGTTTGTGTCTCCAAAACAGGGTTTTTAAAACTTTTAGATGGGTGGACTTCAACTCCCAGAATTCCCTAGTCAAGCATGCTTCAAGTTGAGTAGACCAACTCCCAGAATTCCCCAGCCAGCCATGGTTTATGTTCTAGGGACTTCAACTCCCAGAAGCCCACGACAGGATGTATGAACTTCAATTCCCAAGAGCATGCTGGCTGGGGAATTCTGGGAGTTAAAGTCCACAAATGCTGGCTGGGGAATTCTGGGAGTTGAAGTTCACAAATGCCGGCTGGGGAATTCTGGGAGTTGAAGTCCAGCAATGCCGGCTGGAGAATTCTGGGAGTTGAAGTCCAGAAATGCCGGCTGGGGAATTCTGGGAGTTGAAGTCCACAAATGCCGGCTGGGAATTCTGGGAGTTGAAGTCCAGAAATGCCGGCTGGGGAATACTGGGAGTTGAAGTTCACAAATGCCGGCTGGGGAATTCTGGGAGTTGAAGTTCACAAATGCCGGCTGGGGAATTCTGGGAGTTGAAGTCCAGAAATGCCGGCTGGGGAATTCTGGGAGTTGAAGTCCACAAATGCCGGCTGGGAAATTCTGGGATTTGAAGTCCAGAAATGCCGGCTGGGGAATTCTGGGAGTTGAAGTCCAGAAATGCCGGCTGGGGAATTCTGGGAGTTGAAGTCCACAAATGCCGGCTGGGGAATTCTGGGAGTTGAAGTTCACCCTTCTGAAAGTTGCCATGGTTGCAAATCTCTGCTCGAGACTAAACAATGTTCTATATTTTTTTTTTCCCTGCACAAACCCTGAAGCTCTTCAGAAGTGGCAGAACCCGTTATCTCTGCCAGCCAGCTAAGCAAGTCAGACCTGAAATCCATCACTTCATCCGCCAGCCTGCAAACTCACCCACCCTCCCAATGCCTTGGCTGTGCCACGAATGGCTTAACCCTGATCCATTGACTTCCCACACTTTAAACCACGGTTTAGAATCCCCTCCCAAGAATGGGGTTCGTCCCTCTTCAAAAGTGCAGAGAAGGGCAACAAAGAAGATTAAGGGCCTGGAGACTAAAACATATGAAAAAGGGTTTCAAGAATTGGGTATGGCCAGTCTGGAGAAAAGAAGGACTAGGGAAGACATGATCGGAGTCTTCCAGTATTTGAGGGGCTGCCCCAAAGAGGAGGGAGTCAAGCTATTCTCCAAAGCACCTGAAGGCAGGACAAGAAGCAAAGGATGGAAACTAATCAAGGAGAGAAGCAACCTGGAATTAAGGAGAAACTTCCTAACAGTGAGGACAATTATCCAGTGGAACAGCTTGCCACTAGAAGTTGTGAGTGCTCCATCACTGGACGTTTTTAAGAAGAGACTGGACAGTCACTTGATTGGAACGGTATAGGGCTTCCTGCTTGAGCAGGGGGTTGGACTAAATGACCTCCAAGGTCCCTTCCAGCTCTATTCTCTATGAATGAAACCCAAGGGAAAGCTTGTTCTATGAGATCGTAGAAAATAAGAGAAAGAGAAAGGAAAGGAGTCCAGGTCGAATGGTCCAACGCCCACCCTGCTCCTTTCTACAGGTAGTCCTCAACTTACAACGATTTGTTTAGCGACCGAATAAGGAAGGAGCACCAAATGTTGCCTTCCCCGGCCCGAATCCTTCCCGAGCCAACCTGATCTTTGCAAAGGAAGGGCGGTTAGGGAACGCAACTTATAGCTGTTCGTTTAGTGACCGTTCGAAGTTACAACAGCACGGCACAAAGTCCGTTTTTCACACTTACGACCGTCGCAGCTTTTCCCCACGGTCACGTGATCAAAAAATCTGGCCGCTTAGCAACAGGCACGCCTTTAGTGCGTGTATGTGTGAGACGCGATCCCCGTTTTGCGACCTTCTGATCAGTTTCACTTAACCCGAGGCGCGACTAACTGAACCACCGCAACGACGGCGGCAAGGATGGTCGTTAAAACGGGACTCCCTCCACCGTCGCCTTGCGGAAATCTGGTTCGAGGGGGTGTGATTTTTCTCTCGCGGTCGCAAGTCGAGGACCGCCGGCCCAACTCCGGCCTCGCGAAAAAGCAGTCCGGATCCAAAAAAACCCCAAAACAAAACAAGGCGAGAAGAATTCCAGTCCGGGTTTTGCCGCCGACTCTTGTCACTTTTTGCAAGCAGCGCTGCTGCCGGTTCGCGATCTGCGTTGCTGCCGCCGCCGCTGCCGCCGCCGCCGCTGGAGCAGAAGCGGGTGGGGTGGATTTGGGGTGGGGTGTGGGGGGGGGTTCCTCCCCAGCATTAGCCCCCCCCCCCGGCCCCCTTCTTTCTATCCAGCCTCTGCTGCTCCCCCCTTGATCTTCCCTACCTAGCAGCTGAAAGAAACCCAAGAAGGGGTGGGGAAGGGGAGGGAGCCCTCCAGAATCATCTTAAGACCCCTCCTCATGCACAAACACTAACCCCCCCAGCCCCCCCTTCCCTCCCCCAGAGGGTGCTTTGCTTTTATTTTAATTTGATTTCATTTTTTTGCAATGGCATGATAACCGAGTTGGCAGCGAGTTGCTGGGAAGGAGGAGCAGAGGAGGAGGAGGAGAGGGGGGGAAATAGAGGAGGGGGCGTTTGCTTTACATTTCTTTCCCCCCTCCCCTTGTTCTCTAACCCGGGTTGAGCCCCGCTGTTGTCTCTGGGACGATCGCAGACAAGCCATGTGAAGGCTTGAGGACAGGTGGAAAGGGAGGAGGGGAGGGGGGGCGAAAGAGAGAGAGGGGGGGATAGGGAGGAGGAGGAGGAGGAGTCCTCCGCGGATCCCCCCCCTCTCCTTTCCCTTCCTTCCCCTTCCCCTCCTCTCCCCTCCCCTCAAAAGGCTTCGGAGAGTTTGGGGAAACGAGCCATCCGACTGCAACGCCACCAGATTTCAAACCCTCTCGGGGAAGATCTCCGGAAAGCGAGTCAAAGGTAAGACTAGATTCCTTCTTTCTTGGGGTGGGGGGGAGGTGGGGGGAAAAGGATCGTATTCGCGTGGGGAGGGGGTCTCTTTTCGCTTTCCCCCCCTCCTCTCTCTCTCTTCCCCCCTCCCCAAAAAAAGGGGGGAGCGGTGTTTCCTTTCATCCGTCTCTTTCCTTCCTTCTTTCCTTCCTCCCCTCCACCCCTGTTTTAAACGCTTGCAAACTTTATAGGATACGGCTAATTTAAAAAAAAAAGAGGGGGGGAGATAGGATCGGAATTGCGCAAAGGAACATATCCCCCCCACCCACCCACCCAAATTTGCTCGGGCTTCAAAGGTAACGAGAGAGAGAAAGAAAGAGAGAGAGAGAAAGAGAGAGAGAGAGAAAGAGAGAGAAATTGGGTCTGGGGGTTTTGCGTGGAGCCCGGCCTCGCTTGCTGTCAAGGGGGCTGCAACGAGGTTGGATATGTGTCGCAAATCCGCCAGATTAAGCCAAGGTGGCCCCACTTCCTCTCCTCCCAAAGAGCCCCCCCACCCCCCCCCCCCCCCCCCCCCCCCCACCCACCTTCAGCCCTTGCGATGACTTTTGAAATGGTGCTTTGGACCCGGCGGTCAATTCCTGGAGCTCCCGGGCTCTGGATCCGGCTATTTCGCGGACCGTGGTGGGGGCTTTATATTATTTTATTTATTTTTGGAAGGGCTGGATGGATGGATCCTGGCGCGTGGGTGGGTGACCATCCCTGCTCTTTTGGGCACCCCCCCTCCCCATGGTGGGGGGGGGTTGGGGGGGGGGGTGAGGGGGAGAAGGGGTTTTGCAGCAAGGATGATGCCGTTTGGCTTTGGCTTGGCAGCCTCTTTGGTGGATCCGGAATTTTTTTTTTGTTATTTTGTCTCCCCCGAATTATAGGAGAGAATATTTAAACAGGGTTAATCCCTTCTGATCTTGGCCATTGTTTCCATTGTCAGCTGGGGGGGGGAAGGCCGAGCCTCTCTGGTCTCCCCCCCTCTCTCCCTCCCTCCCCCGAAAGCCAGGAACCCCCCCCACCCCCAGATCGTGCTAGAAATGGGGTGGCTTTGTAGAAAAGGAGGCGACCCAAAGAAGAAGGTGATGAGGATGATGCAGCCGAGAAGGAGAATCGGAGGGAGGGACGAGGCTGGAAAGCATCTCTGGTGGCACAGGCCAAGTCACTAACCCACCCACCCACCCTGGGCTCCCAAATCCTGTGAGCCGCCCCTTTCTTGAAGAATGTAGGTAGCAGGGTGGAAGAAGGGAGGGAGGAAGGAGATGGAAGTGAGAGAAGGAAGGAAGGAAGGAAGGAAGGAAGGAAGGAAGGAAGGAAATGGAAGTCAGAAAAGGAAGGAAGAAGAAAGGAGGAAGGGAGGGAGGAAGGACATGGAAGTGAGGGAAGGAAGGAAGGAAGGAAATGGAAGTCAGAAAAGGAAGGAAGAAGAAAGGAGGAAGGGAGGAAGGAGGGAGGGAGGGAAGGAAGGAGATGGAAGTGAGAAAAGGGAGGAAGGAGGAAGGAAGGCGGGAGAGAGGGAAGGAAGGAAGAAGGGAAGAAGGGAAGGAAAGGAAGCGGGAATGAGGGAGGGAAGGAAGGAAGGAAGGAGATGGAAGTGGGAAAAGGGAGGAAGGAGGAAGGAAGGCGGGAGAGAGGGAAGGAAGGAAGAAAGGAAGAAGGGAAGGAAAGGAAGCGGGAATGAGGGAGGGAAGGAAGGGAGAAAGGAGATGGAAGTGAGAAAAGGGAGGAAGGAGGAAGGAAGGCGGGAGAGAGGGAAGAAAGGAAGGAAGGAAGGAAAGGAAGCGGGAAGGAAGGAGGAGAGAAGGACATAGAAGTGAGAAAAGGGAGGGAGGGAAGACAGAAGTGAGAAAAGGGAGGGAGGGTAGAAAGAAAGGAGGGAAGGGAAATAGGGAGGATAGGAAAGAAGGAGAAAGGAGGAAGGGGAGGGAGGAAGGAAGGAGAAAGGAAGGGAGGGAAGGAGGGAAGGAAGGATGAAGGGAAAGGAAGGAAGGATGAAGTGAAGGGAGGGAGGGAGGGAGGGAGGGAGGAAGGAAGGAAGGAAGGAAGGAAGGAAGGAAGGAAGGAAGGAAGGGGCCCAGTTTGTCCCATCCACTTGTATACTTCATATCTGGAGGAATGTGGGGCTGAGAGAACCAGCCACCGGCGGTCCCCTCCATGCAGCGGTAAGGGAGGGGCGGATGGGGCTTGATGCCAGCTCCGTCACAAAGTGGGGAAACGGGGGATGGGGTGGAGGCAGACACCGGTAGAGAAGAGCCTTTCCTGTTTCCTGGTCCTTCTTTTGCGGGCCTCTCCACCCAGGGGTGTCACCCTCCCTCTCCTGGGAAATGCCCGTGCTTCGATCTTGGTTCCCTACTTGCGGCTCCTTTGGCGTTTTCGGAGGACCCGGGTTCAAAAGTGAACACCCAGGAAGGGGGGGAGGCTTGGCCTTACCAAAAGAGGCCCAGGAACCCCACTTCTGACCCTGGTCTGGGGCTGCAACTCTTCTTCCTCAAGAACAGAACAGAACAGAGTTGGAAGGGACCTTCTAGGTCATCTAGTCCAACCCCCCGCCCAAGAGAGAGACCTAGAATAGACAAATAGTCTTTGGATGCTCAAGGGAACCATGTTCTTGCGACTCCTTCTGTTTTCAGACTCTTTATGGCTTTGGGGGTCGACTGGGGCCTGCTCCAGCCCCCCCCCCTCATGTTTTTCTCTCCCCCCCCCCCCCCCCAGGCGGGACTCCATTTCCAAGTTGCTTAGGCTGGCTTCATACAACCCTGTGTAGTAACCCTGTATACCCTTGCATTCACACAGTCTGTTAAGCCCAAGTAAGGCAATCGTTCGGCAAGATTTGTCATGGCATGGCCATTTAGGAAGGAAGGAGGGGGAGGGAGGGAGGAGGGAAGGAAGGAGATGGAAGTGAAAAAAGGAAGACGGGAGAGAGAGAAGGAAGGAAGAGAAGGGAAAGGAAGGAAGAGGGAAGGAGGGAGGGAGGAGGGAAGGAGGAGATGGGGGAGTAAAGGAAGGAAAGGAGGAGATGGAAGTGAAAAAAGGAAGGAGAAGGAGGGAGAGAAAGAGGGGGAAGGAAGGGAAGGCAGAGGAAGAAAGAAGGGAGTGAGAGAGGGAAGGAAGGAGATGAAAGTGAGAAAAGGAAGGAAGGAGGGAGAGAGAAGGAAGGAAGGGAAGGGAAAGGAAGGAAGAGGGAAGGAGGGAGGGAGTAAGGAAGAAAGGAGATGGAAGTGAAAAAAGGAAGGAAAGAGGGAGAGAGAGGGGGGAAGAAGGGAAGGCAGAGGGAAGGAGGGAGGGAGGGAAGGAAGGAGATGGAAGTGAGAAAAGGAAGGAGGGAGGGAATGCATGAATGAATAAATGAATAAAACTAATTAATTAATTAATTAATTAAGTCCAGCCCTTTTGAGAACGCTGAGTTCAAGGTGCTGGAAAGGAGTTAATTGGGGAAACTAGGTTAAACTTGGGTTTGTTTAAAGGAACACGTCTCTCATTTGTGCTTTGGGGGGGAAGGGAGAAAAATGGAGGGAGGGTCTTTTTGTACCTGGGAAACCTTCCTTTCCCCGCGCCCCCTGAGATCTCGGCAAACATTGCATGCACGGAGTGAGAGGCGTGCTCTGTATATGCTCAGGAATTCTCTTGGCCAGTTTGTCTGATCTGAGGCTACAGCCAGGAACGCTGAACGTTTACGGGGAGTCCTCGATTTACGACCAACATGGAGCCCAACATTTCTGTGGCTAAGGGAGATGCTGGTTGAATGAGTTTTGCCCCATTTTACGACTTTTCTTGCCACCGTTGTTAAGGGAATCACTGCAATTCTCAAGGGAGTTACACGGTTTTTAAATGAATATGGCTACCTTGTGGACTTTGTCAGGAAGGAAGGAAGGAAGGAAGGAAGGAAGAGGAAGGAAGGAAGAGGAAGGAAGGAAGAAAAAGGAAGGAAGAGGAAGGAAGGAAGGAGGAGGAAGGCAGAAAGGAAGGAAGGAAGAAAGAGAAAGGAAGGAAGAAAGGAAAGAAAAAGGAAGGAAGGAAGGAAAGAAAGAGTAAGGAAGGAAAAAAGAGGAAGGAAGGAAGAAAAAGGAGGGAAGGAAGGAAGGAAAGAAAGAGTAAGAAAGGAAGAGTAAGGAAGGAAGGAAGGAAGGAAGGAAGGAAAAATGAAGGGAGAGCAGGAGGGAAGGAAAGAAGGAGGAAATGACCCTGGGACACTGCAACCGTCATAAACATGAGTCAGCTGTCACATGTCTGAATTTTGATCACGTGACCACAGGCGTGCTGCAACGGTCAATCAGCGTGAAAAACGGTCATCGGTCACCTTTTTTTTTTTAGGGCCGTCGTAACTTCGAGCGGTCACTCAATGAACGGCCGTAAGTCGAGAACTACCTGTGTAAGTCGGGGAAGGCTTTCTGCTTTTGCGACAGCGATGCCTTTGGGGGGTTGACAGAAGACGGAATCTAAAATACGGATATCACAAGAGTCGGCAAGGACCTTAGAGGTCTTCGAGCCTGACCCCCCTCCTATACCGTTTCAGACAAACGGTGGTCCAATCTCTGGGTTAACACAGAGCAAATTTTAGCGGGTGGGGGCTGCAGGATTGAGAAGGGGGACGAGGGAAGGAGCCCGGCTGAAATGAATGACTCTTTGGCTTAAAGAGCCAGGAGGCTGCTTAATCAGAATTTTTGGTGAATCACTGCTCTCTTGAACCCGGGGCTCATCTCGTGATTTTCACCCCCCCCCCCAAACCTCCCATCCTCCTTAACCTTCATTGTCGGCTTAAGACTGGCCCTTTAACAGCTGCCTGCCCCAACGTGAATATTTTGGACCTCTGCCCGGGAAAGCAGGTTGGGTGGGTAGAGGAGAAAGGAGAGGAAGGGGAAACGACAAGAACAGAAGCCCGAGAGCCGCGGATGAGCTCACCGTTTTAGGCTCGGTGGTGGGAGAACCCACAGCTCCTGAGCATGGCTGGAGGGCTTCTCCGAGTCGGCTGGAGAAATAATCTCCGTCCT